CTGCAGACTCGCCTAAACCCAACCATTGCCGTGTGACCATCGCCTTCTGCTGGTCAGCAACAGCCTCAACCGTAGGTCTCCTTCCTGAGACTCTCTTCGTACCGACAGCGCTCGCCGCCGCCCACTTCGCCAGTTCGCGATCCACGAGGCACACACCCCCCCTTGTCTCTCAAGCGCAAGCCGTCTTGATCCCCAATTCCGCTCTTGCCAATCAAGAACACTCTCTTCAGCCTGTCTACCTCGCCAGACGGGCCCATCTGCCGCGACTTCTTGTCTTCTGTCGCGACTTCTGGTCTTCTGTCGCATCCCTGCTCGTTTGTGTCGAGCAATTCGTCAGCCGCACGCCCGTATCCATTATCACTCCCACCCCGCACCACTATCATGACCACCTTCCTCTGAGCAAATACAACCGCCAACCCTCCGAGTGCACCAGCAGAAACCACCTGCACTGCACGGCCCAGCTCACCTCTCCAGCCTGGAACCGGGGAACCCCAGCACCAGACTCGACAGCAACTCGCATTCTTCACGAATTCGGCCCGTGCCGTCATGGCCTCGACCTACACCATGTCGAACCCTTATCTCCACGACGACCAAGGACCCGTCTCCCAGAACCAACCAACCTCTGGCGGCCTCCAATATCAATACAACGGTACACCCAACAGCGGCACCAACCATCTCACACCCTTCTCACCCCACTTGCTGAGCAACTCAGCTTCTCCCACGCACCATAACACCAACACGCCCGCCGAGTCCATCTCCAACTACAGCCAATATCACACGAGCGAATACAGCGATATGGACGATACAGACCCTTTCTACGGTGTCGATTTCAACAGCACCGAGGGTGGGACGCCGTCATTCCTGGACGAGAACCTGCTGCCTCTGAGCAGAACTAGCAGCTTCGGCACCACACCTGCGTCTCAGTCCTTCGACGTCACCCGCCCCCGCAAGACTTCTGATCTGGGCGTATACCCCTTCAGCCCCGAACAGACTGCGTCTATGCATACGCCTTCGCCCGCCAGCGATCAGAGGGCCTTCGCAGTGCAGCAGGTTGACGGCCCCCCCACCTCTGTCTCGCCCCGCGACCTCCAGAAGCCCTTCGCGGCCCCGCCCGTCCCGACTTTCGTGTCAGCGCCGGTATTCCAGCTCACTCCCGATCCGAGCCGGAGCGGTCGTTCGAGCGAAGAGGACCTTGTGTCTCGTCACCCCGTTACGACCGCTCAGAGCCCACGCGTTACTGTTTCGCTCTGGGGAAGGGACGATGATCAGCCTATCGTGCCCCTCGAGCGTACCTTCACCCCCGACGATGACGATCCGGTCACTGTTCGTGGCTCATTTTCCGCTGCCGGCGACATGATGTACGCTGGAGATCAGGTCACGTCCATGCCTCCCCCGCCTCACCCCAAGGATGAGTCTAGCATTCGCCGCCGACTCTCGTCCTCCAGTCGTCGCGGGCTGGAACCAGGCAGCCGGACGACGGCCGAGACGGAAAGCCCCAATGAAATGGTCACGCGTCGTGAGATTGAGGAGAAGAATGTCGAGGTTGGCAAGTGGCTCACCGGTAACGTTGTGGAAAACCCTCCCGCGGAGCAATCTTCATCGTCCATTGCCCAGCTCGACAAGGCGGACCCCAACAGACAGGACGACGAAAAGATTCCTCTGGGCGACCAAACCGAGAACAAGTATCTGTCAAATCAGGTCTACTTTCATCCTGGAGGCGGCGAAATGACCCAGACAGACCTCGACATCTTACACGCCAACAGCAAGTGGGGCGACGCGCCCATGTCACATCCCATCAGTAGTCAGGGCGAGCGCTTCCAGCCCGAGTCCTCCCAAGCAGCCATTGCACGATACAACAAGATGTGGGACAACGAGTCGATCGTTTCCAAGGCTGCGACGTGGGGTACGCGCCGGCGTAGTCTCCCGAGCTTGCTCGACGTCGACATTGAAAGCGTCACGAGTGGCAAGCTTCTCAAGAAGCTCAGCATTGCTCGTGGTGAGGGCACTCGCCCTGACCGAGGCGTGCGGCGGCCTAGTCTGCTGCAAGACTTGCGAGGCCTCGTCAGGCGGCCCAGCGGCAGCGGACTTCTCAAGCGATCCAGGAGCAACAACGGAGAGGAGAGCCCTCAGCCGGCTGGTAGCCAGAGCCCCGAACGGCGTGACAGCTCACCGCACCTGGCACCGCCGGCACGCACCTCAAGCTGGGGTAACAAAAAGGGCCCAGTCCCCAGCATCAACACTGCTCTCGTGTCGATGGGCAATAGTGTCGCATCAATCGGCACGACCCACGCCCGGAACAGCTCCATCAGCGCGACGTCCATCACCTCGCCCAGGAGCCCTTTCAACAACACTTTGCAAGTGAAGAACACCCTCCGGCGTCCGAGGAGCAAGTCCGATCTTCCAAAACCCAGTCCCAGCAACGAGACGCATTCCAATTTGGTTGGTATGTGGCGGAAGACTGGCGGTCCACCCGTTGCGACCTTGGCCACGAGCACCAACGTAGACGTCGAGGATGAGGACGAGGACGAGGACGACGGCGATGACGGCGACATGAAGATCGAACCGAACAGAACTATCAGTGACATCACGCCCACGTTTGCCGGATTCCAGCAGCACATCCTACGTCTAAACCCAGGCCTGGAGACGAGTGGCAACTATCTGGTGGATCGTATCGCCCACCAACAGATCATCCGCTACAAGCAACTGCTCAACTTCAAGAAGAAACACTTGCAGGCCGGTGCCGACTGCTCATGCGGACCTCTTTGTGTGGCTCTGGGTGGGAGTGCCACGATTCTTGATCAGAAAGGCGCCCCCAAGAGCCTGGACCCGTTGTCGGCCAGCTGTGACATTGAAGATGGCAATATGACGCCGATCGAAGGCGCCATTACGCAAGACAGCTTCCCCACGGATATTCCAATGCCACTCACCCCAAGTCTTCCGGCCGAATTCGAATGCCAACTCTGCTTCCAAGCAAAGAAGTTCAACAAGCCTTCTGACTGGACGAAGCATGTTCACGAGGATGTCCAGCCATTCACGTGCACCTGGGATCGATGCCGGGATCCAAAGATTTTTAAGCGCAAGGCGGACTGGGTGCGCCACGAGAATGAAGGCCACCGTCACCTCGAATGGTGGACGTGTGACGTGGAGGACTGTACCCACACGTGCTACCGTCGCGACAACTTCCTGCAACATTTGGTGCGCGAGCACAAGTTTGCCGAGCCCAAGTTCAAGAACAAGGCTGCAGTGAAGCAGCAGAGTTCTGACCCTACCTGGCAAAAGGTGGAGCAGTGCCATCAAGACACGCCGGTGAAGCCTCAGGACGAGCCGTGCCGGTTCTGCGGAAAGTCATTCCCCTCTTGGAAGAAGCTCACAGTCCATCTCGCCAAGCACATGGAGCAGATCAGTCTCCCCATCTTGCGTCTCGTGGCGGAGAGAGAACTCGAGCCAGATACCATCATCAGTCCCGTCCAGGATGCCCCGCCCCGCAATGCTTTCAACACCGCCGTGCCTTTCAACGAGTCGATCTCCAGCCGCACCGACTTGTCGTCCCAATTTCGGTGCGGCCAGGCAACGTATCCGCCTCCGGCTGGGCGCCCGTCCGGCCTGGTCACCGATCCAAGGGCGTTCGGTAACAACAACGGCGTCCCGTTCGGATACATGGACAACATGCAACAACAGTACGACGATTCCCTGTTCTCGTCCACGTACGGCGATAACGGCCAAGAGTTGCATTCGTCTCCGCTTATTGACCAAACGAATGGACTGGGCTTCGGCCATGCAGACTTTCAGAACATGGCCTTGCCGACGAACGTGTACGGGGGAGGGCAAGGACAGTACATGACAGTGCCGCCAAGCGGGGAGCCATTCCCAGCGCTCGACACGGACGCCCTTGGCTTGCACCAGCCCGGTATGGGACCAATGTCAATGGACAGTTCTCTGCAGTACGGCATGTTGATGGGACAAGGCCAGGGTCACGGCCACGGCCTCGGGCAAATCCCAGCCCACCCAAACATGGCGCAGTATGCAGCGCAAGGCAGGACGTCGCCGTACTCGCGGTCACCGCACCAGGAGATGAACGTCTTCTATGCTCCCCAGTGAGTATGCACATTCTTGCCTATTTTTTCGCCGTTTCTTTTTTTGCTCTTCATATTTGTTTTCTTCGCCACGATTTTAAAGCGATTTCTTGATCCAAACACATTGTATGGCTGAGGTTTTTGGATACCCTTTTCTCCTACCATGGCTTGCTTTCATTTTTTACGCTTCTCCTTTTCCTTCTCCTTGTTGTCGCTTTTCCTCCTCCTCCTCCTCGGAGATGGCATATGCGAGGCTGGGAAAGGTCCTGTTTTTTGGTGAGGTTTGTCTTCTCCATTCACGAAGTAACGGCATGAGCGGTTGGTTTATGACGAGGTGCGGTCGTGGTCCCGACGAACGGGATGCAACGGACCATGTTCTATTTTCGAGGGATGCAGAGTAGGGATACTATCAATATACCATGGCTTGCCTTTTATAAGGTTCCCCAGTCCGCCGATCGCACTTTTAGTTTTATGGCTTCGAGAAAAGTTCCGTATTGACCATGGAGGATATACGATGGAAGGTGGGGATGGTTGACGATGTAGGGTGGCAGTGCCAGCACGGGCGTAGACATCACGTCAGACCACACAAGGCCGGCCGAGGGTGTGCTTCACGACTCGTCACATGTTGATGTGGCCATGTGTGCATGGCAAGGTTGGTCGGTGGCGGCAGATACTGGCGAGCTGGAGGGCGGGAAAAGAAAAATCTGGCTCACAGGTGCGACAGAGGCAAGGAGAACTACAGACACAGGATGGCGAGGGCGTACGTTCGGCCAAACCTAAGAAGAAGAAGAAGGAAAAGCAAGAGCACTACATCTGAGGCAAGAGCCAGCCTCTTTTGCTCAGTAGGTAGCAAACAAACGCCACGAGGCTAGAGGACTGGCGCAGGAAGGGGGGAGACGGGGAAGGGGAGGGGGGGGAACACATTGGGACCGAACCGACTGCGATGATGATGATTTGTGTGGGTTCGTGCGCGCGAGAGGGCGGCGTGCGGCGTTCTGGGTTTTTCTGAAGCGTCGAGTGCCGCGAGTTTGTTCTGATCGTCCGTCTGGCGGGAGGTCTCCCCGCCGCCGCCCCCCGGGTACCCTTTTCTCCTGTTGAGCTCCATTGACTTGACTTTCTGAGCCAGCCATGTGTTCTGCTGCATCTTCTGTCCGCGCGCCAGCGACGTAGTCAAACGTCTCTGCTCGGCAACAGTAATCGAGGGTGAGGTCGCTTTGCGAGTGAGTGACTGAATCGCTGCCACAGGCCTGTCCGTACACTAAAAGGGGCTTGCTATGTGCCGAGCGGAGGGGGGACGGACAGACGTACTGTAGATTGGCGTCGGGAAGGATAACGTGCATAGATGCGGACCAAGGCGTCGTCATCGAGGTTACTTTGGCGAAGCGACGGGGGTTGGCTGACCCTGTCTACCTACTTTATTCGTAGGTAAGGTACCTTACCTTAACAGTGACCTGAGGTGGAGAGGTTGGCTGTGCTCGCTGGCTGTGCAGGATACGACCGAAGCAGGCCGGCAGACAGCTGGCAAGCAGGTAGCTCCAGGTGGCTTGGTCAGGGACGGCAGTCAGCGGGCCGACAACAGAGTACAGTACTGACTGACTGATGGACTGACTGACGCTCGACAGACTGGCACAAGACACAAACAGCAAAGCCGAGACAGAGAAAGATGGGAGAGGAGGCGCCAAGGGACGGGGGACGGTCTGTCTGATGAAAGTGTGTTCGTATCGATGTCGACTAGCGAGCAGAGCAGATTCCGGGGTCTTGTCCATGGCGCCGTTTCAAGTGCGGACCGGAGCCAGGGGGTGGCGCCGGGGCCTGGAGCCAATGAAGGGGCCTGACCGAGATGCCACCTGCGCTCGAGGTACCGGGAAGCGTGTTTCTCGCTACCGAGTGACCTCTGCGCGCCAAGGGGTGGGGACTGCCACTCCTCCATGCCCCTTGCTTGCCCATTCGCTCTCGTCCAGTCGCTGGCTTTGGAGAGAGACCCCCCTTGTCGCAGAACATCCTCGATGGTGGAAACGTGAAGATTCCCCGGGGCCGGGGGGAGAGAGGCTGGCCGCACCATGGAGAACGGCGGTTGTTCTGTACAGTAGGGGCGGAGTCTGGGTGATTGGAATCTGGGAACGGGGCCAGGGAAGTAGATGAGCGAGCAGATGAAGCAAATCACCACACACAAACTGGGCAGCAAGAGCATAAGGTACAGTACGCTGAATCGACGGGCTCTCTGCGTTTGCATCTGCTGGCGGCCGTGTAATGTAGGTAGG